GGGGCCGGGAGATGCGGGGGGCTGGGGAGACCCCCCACCCGTGGCTGGCGCTGCCTGGAGGCTGCGGGTGGGGGCCCCGAAGCCCAGGTACCCCCTGCCCCACCCCAGGCCCAGAACTGAGGTGCCTTGGACTTTGGGGGGCCAGGCCTGGCACATGGGGGGGCGGGAGGGCGCGCCCTCGGGTACAGAGCACAGCAGACATTCCAGAGACTGTATTCGAGAGTCTTTATAAAGTGTGGGAGATTTAAAAAAAAAAATCAATTGATAAAAATGCACTTTTTGGGGGTGGGGGGGAGAAGCTTTAAAAGTAATAAAACAAAAACAAACAAAAAGACAAAAGATGATGAAAAACCAGAAAAAAAATCATTTTTTTCTTGTACATAAAAAAAAAAAAAAACCACTAAACAAAGCCTGTTACGACCGCCGTGGCCTCACTTGCCTGATTTTGATGTGCTCTGTGTTTTGTTGGGGGGAGGCCGGGAGGCGGGGAAGGAGGGTTTCAGGGTGGGGGTCCCCTTCCCCTCTGGCCCTGAAGAACGAGGCAGAATCGGGGGCCGCCCTGTCCCGGGGGGTCGGGCCCCTCTGCCGCACCACACGCTTGGGTTCTAAGGAGAGAACCCGAGGGGCCTGGCCCACGCCCTGGAAGTCAGTCCCATCTCGGGGGTCCCATTGTCTTGGAGGGGGCAGGGCATAGAGACAGGGACCCAGCGCCCTGGGGCTGGCAGGTGTCGGGGAGGCCCCAGGTCTGGAGCCCCTGCAGGGAAGGTGACCCACAGCCCCTGGGCAGGCAGGTGGGCGGCTCCAGGAAAGGGACCAGGGGACAGAGGGAGAACCGGCCGGGCGGGTTGTGATCACATCGTGACCAGGGCTGGGCCTTGGGTACCTGGGCCTCCACGGAGTCCCTGTGGCCCTGGGTGGGGACGTGTGGGCTGGAGGCCGCCCGTGCTGGGCCACCGTGACATGATCGTGGGTCTGGAGCCTGAAACCACAGCCCCCACTTCTGGGCTGGGGTCGCCACACACGGCCATTTGCAGCGCCTCCGGGGAGAGTCCCCCCAGCGCCTCCTGTCCCCCAACGAGACTCAGCCCATGGTCCCAGACATCTGTCCAGGCCGGTACCAAAGTGTTGGGGCCACTGATGGCTGCACGACGCTGGGAACCAGGTCCGTTCGGAGCCTCGGCCCCTCCCTCCTCTGTGGACCAGGCTCTTGCTAGTGGCCACAGGGACTCAGCAAGGCCAGGCCCAGGCCCTGCCCGGAACATCACAGAGCCTGGACGCCCGCAGGGCCCTCCTGTGGACCCCACGGCGGATGTCGCGGCTCAGGGAGGCAGAGCCCATCACCTGTCTGCCGTCACCTGAGGAGCCTGCTGCGGATTCCTGGGATTGGCACCCAGAGCTCCAGCCGGGGCTGGGGCGGGGCTGGGGCGGGGCTGGGGGCCAGTGTGCTACAGCCAGACCCTGTCCTGAGCCCCTACTGCACCCCGGGCCCTGGCGGCTTGGAGGCCCCGGCCCAGAGGCCCCATGGCGTCAGTGGGCTGAGGGAGCCATAGCTTGGTTCCGTGGCCTCTGCACCAAGAGGCAGAGGCGGCAGTCCACTGCGCTCAGCCGCGAGGACCTCTCCACACACGCCCCGCGGTCCCTCTGCTATGTGGGAGAAGCTGTTGTTTTCAATCGAGTTGTAATTCACAGGTTTTTAGTATATTCAAAGGATTGTGCACCATCACCACTATCTAGTTCCAGAACATTCCAACACCCCAAAAAAGGAGCCCCGTATCTATCAGAGATCACTGCCCCCCCCGTCCCCTCTCCTAGCCCTGGCACCCATGAATCTACGTCCTATCTCTGTGGATCTGCCTGTTCAGGACGTTTCATATGAAGAGTCACACACTGTGTGTCCTTCTATGTCTGGCATCTCTCACTGAGCACGACGTCCTCAAGGTCCCTCCACACTGTGGCCTGTGTCGGAGCCTTGTTCCTTTTCGTGGCTGAGTGATACTCCAGTGTAGGGGCCAGACACGATGGCTCATGCCTGTAATCCTGCACTCAGAGACAGGAGCGTTGCTGGAGGCTACGACTGTGTGACTGTTCTCCAGCCAGGACCACACAGCAAGACCCTATTTCTAAAAAAAAAAAAAAAAAAAAAAAATTCCATTGGGTGGCGGGACCACATTGTATTTATCCGTCACCTGTTGATGGGACACTTAGGCAGTTTCGGCTTTCTGACTCCGGCGAGGGCTGCTGCTGGGACGCTTGTATGCGAGCTTCTGCAGGACAGATGTGCTCACCACCAAGGAGTGCAAGGGCAAGTCACGTGCCAACTCGGCGTTGCGCTTTCTCAGCGGTGGCTGCACTTTACACCCCCAGCGGCCGCGAGTGGGGCTCCGGCTCCCCCATGGCCTCCAGCTCCTATTTTTTTTTTTTTTTAATTCTAGCCATCCTGGTGGGTGTGATGGATTATCTCACCATTTTTAATTTTTTTAAAATACTATTTTTTACAGGCAGGGTCCTGCTCTGTCTCCCAGGCTGGAGTGCAGTGGAGTCCCCATAGCTCACTGGGCTCAAGCGATCCTCCTGCCGCAAGGCCGCAGAGGAGCTGGGACTACAGGTGTGCACCAACACACCTAGCTAATTTTAAAATTTTCTTTAGAAATGGGATCTTGCTATGTTTCCCAGGCTGGCCTCAAAGTCCTGGCCTCAAGAGATCCTCCCGCCTTGGCCTCCCAGGTAGCTGCGACCACAGGCGTGAGTCACTGCGCCTGGATTTGAAGTGCATTTCCCTGACGTCGCTTCTCGTGCTGGTTGGCCCTTCCTGTGTCTTCTCAGCCACCCGGGGAGCCAGGCACAACCTCCTCTTGCCGGAGCCACCTCTCCCAAGTGTCCCAGTGCAGCGGGGACACCGCGCCCTGGCAGTGCAAGGTACAACCTGCCCCACTGACGCGCTGCACCTTCTAAATCCTCAACCTCAGGCAACGGAAGACGCACGTTTTGTCCTCTGAGCCCTGTCCCCACCCCACGGGGGTGCCTCATGCTGGCAACACACCTTAAGACGGAGGACACAGAATGGCAGACACCTTGGTGGCTTCACCTCGACCTTTTTTATTTGCGTTTTTTAAAAACAATTAAATTAGAATACAAATATTAGAAAACAGCGGCCGGCAGCTGCAGGGCGGGCGGGAGGGGCCGGGCTGCGCAGCCGGTTTATACAGTGAGACTGGATTCGCCCTCGACCAGATCTATGTCCCTTTCTTCTGCAGACCTGAAACGATATTGCTTCCTGACTACGAGAGTTGTTTATACAAAGAATGATTCTGCTGGGGGCGGGGGGGGGGGGCGAAACAGAACAGGGCGTCGGAGACCCAGGGCAAGGCCGGTGCCCCACCGCCTCCTGGGGACAGGGCCTGGGCGCCTGGCCGTGGGTTCCTGCGGGCGTCGGACAGGGCCCCAGAAGCCCCCACAGTTGCTGGACCCCTGAGGCCGAGGGCTGGGGGGCCTGGAAAGGGACCCCAGAGGGGCCGGGCCGGGTCATGCTGGCAGAGCGAGGATCCCGGGAAGGGGCGCCAGGCCAGCCTGTGGAAAACCCAAGAGCAAAAAGAAGGGAGAGGAACCAACCCAAACCGGAGGCGGGGGCCGGGTCCCTGCTGCCCCTCTGGAGGTGACTGCCCTCCCTGCCCCGAGGACTGGGGCCTGGCGGCGGCAGCGGCAGCTGGGAACATCTGTGCTGTTCCGTAGGGAAGTTAACCTGAATTGGAGTTACCGAGGTAGCTGGCTAGAAAACTGAGACCCCCCCACGCCACACGGTGCCGCACCCTGGGGCCCCCGCCTTCCCCGGGGGGTCCTGGCCACACACCGGGTCTTCAAAATACCAAGTTATTGCACTTTCAAAAAATACAACACATCTGTGGCTAAGCCCTCCCCAGCCCCCCGCC